GATGAGGCTATCACCACCTGACAATAGAAGGAGCCTGGGACCTGAAGTGGAACACTGTCCAGCCAGGAACATCTGTGCTCCACGGAATAAGTGAAAAATAAATCTTTATTGTTTTAAATCACTGAAATAGGGAGGCAATTCATTACAGAAGTTAGCTTACCGTGAAAGTATACCATCTATATATATTAAAACACATAAGCACATAATTACATATATTTTCAAAGATACACATCCAAACACATCATGACACATTTGAATGTGTGCCTATGTCAGGGAGAGGAGTGAGAATAGGGATCAGGCATCAAAAGAAGGAAATAAAACAAGGAAGGGGACTAGTGTCAACTGGTGATGAGAATTCACTATGCTCTGAGCAGCATGGTTTAACTATTAAGAAATAAAAACAGTAATTTAAAGAGAAGACAACTAATCGACCCTTTCCAGAGAGAACCCAGGCTAGTTCACCAGGAGTGTAATTATCTTCAGCCTTGAGCACAGAATGGTCCCAGAGAGGATGCGGTGCTGAGGACAGAGCCGGCTGGAATCCTCCACCATGGTCACCAGGAGGGTCTCAAGCCTAAAAAGCTTCCTAAACTGAGAATTTCTCCCAGGCTTGATCTTCACCTTCAGCTCTCCCTGGTGGTGATGGCTGGTGCAGGAGATGCTTGCTATTCTCCAGACGTGGAACCTGGACCTGCCACCTCCCCCTTGGCACTACCTCTCACTCCAGGGTGAGGGAGGCTGGACAAAGCACAGAGGTTCATTCTGGGCCTGGGTGCATCCTGCCCACCCTCCATCCCTGCCTGTGGCAAGCTAAATAATAGCCCTATCCCCAAAGATGTCCACTTCCTAATCTCCAGAAGCTGTGAATTTTTTTTATAGAGAGATGGGGTCTCACTACATTGCCAGGCTGGCCTTGAACTCCTGAGCTCAAGCCATCCTCCTGCCTCCACCTCTGGGAGTACAGGCACATGGCACTGTGCCCAGCTTAACCTGTGAATATTTTATCTTAAATGGCAAAAGGGACTTTGAAGATATGATTAAATCAAGGATCTTAAGATGGGGAGATGATCATGGATTATCCCAGTGAACCCCATGTAATCCTTACAAGAGAGACAGGAGAATTAGAGAGATGTAGGGATGGAGGCAGAGGTCAGAGAGAAGATATTATGCTGCTGGCTTTGAAGATGAAGGAAAGAGCCATGAACCAAACAATGCAAGCAGCTTCTAGAAGCTGGAAAAGGCAAAGAAACAAATTCTCCCTTAGATCCTCCAGAAGGAATGAGGCCTGCCAACATTTTGACTAGTCCAGTGAAACTGATTTTGGACTTCTGACCTCCTGAACTGTAAGATACTAAATTTGTGGTTATTTGTTATAGCAGCAATAGGAAACTAATACCTTGCCCCTGTTGCTGGGCAGGACTCACTAACCTGTTCTACTAGCAAAGTATGGTCTGAGTATGTGGGGTGGGGGGTGAATCAGAGAAGACCTCCTGGAAGCCCCGGTAGTCAAACTGAGCTCACTCATTACCTGACAATACATTGTTAACAATGCATTGTTTATGGGATTGCTAAGAATTAAAAATGTTTTAAATTACCTAATTAAAATATAAATGACCAACTTTTTTTAGGTCACATCTCCTCGTGGGTGACTCCATGCATTGAACAGGAGTCAGTGAACACCCAGGGCATGCCTGGCACCGTACACACAATGAGCTGTGTCCACTACAACACTCAAGCATTTCTCACTGAACCTGCCACTGAGCTTCCAGTTAGTTCAGTGCTCAACTTCACTGCCCCCATCCTCAATGCAGGCCCTTAGACCTACCCACTCCCATGACTTGTGTCCCCCTGATGGGCCCATCCCAGCCAGTACCACCCTTTACCCTCCCAGGCACTGCTTCTGTAGCTGCCACGAGCAGCCTCATCTCTGCCTTCACCCTGAGCCCTGACAAAAGCCCCCAGCGCACCTGAAGGGCAGTGTGCTCTCTCTGATCATGTTTTCTACATCCTGTTTTCATCTCACTCTCTCTTGTCTCTCTGCATCTCTCCCTTTTTATCCCTTCTCCTTCTTTGAGCCCCTTCCTATAACTAAGCTAATAGGAGAAGTGAGCCCCAATCAGCCAATCTAGAGCCAGGTGGGAGGGCCCAAGGATGAGGGTTTACTGGGTTTTTCTAGTAGTGAACTGGAGCCTAAGGTACTCAGACAGGATGCCCAGACCCACCTGGATTACCCAGGCAGCCTCACTCACCCCACCTCTCTAGCCCCTCAACACTCTCAGGTACCTAAACTGACCTGTAATTCACTGACCCATGGAGCCCCCACCCCTGCCACCTCTGCAAGATCTGAATTTCCTAATTTCACAGTTCCCCAACGCCACTTCCACTGCTAACCTCCAGGTCTGAAATGCTGAGCTCTGCCCCCTTGATGTCTAGACCTACTACCCCTCCTTCCCAGAAAAAATGGTTGGTCCAGGATTGATTTTCCTCATATCTGCAGGGTAGACTATGCACTCTACACCCAGTCCAGGCCCAGGGTTCTCTTTCCTCAGAGCCTGCAGCTCTTTTTCTAAAGACTGATCTGCCTCTTTAGGGAGGGCTGAGAACTCAAACATTATAACGGGGGAAAATTGCTTTCGGTCCCTTTGGGCTTTGGTGGTGTTGGCTGGGAACAGTCTCGCCAAGTAATGCTGTGGGCGTGTAGGCAGGCAATCTGAGTTCTTTAACCCGGGCATTGCCACAGATTTCTAATGCGTGACACTAGGCAAGGCTATGCCCTTTCTAGGCCTGTCTCACTAGCCTGTCTGTGCACTGAGGGGGTTGATCTTCTGAAAGGCTATATATATTATCGGAGTTTGGAGGTTCCACTCAGCAACCCCGGCAATGGTGCACAATGGCCACAAGGGGGCGGGCAACCTCTTCAGCTCAGAAGTTTGTAGAGTAAATGAGAAAGTGAGCAGCTGGCACGGTGGTACACACTTCTGGTCCCAGCTCCTCAGGAGGCTGAGGTGGGAGGATCACTTGAGCCCAGGAGTGCCACTGTACTCCAAACTGGGCAACACAGCAAGACCCCATCTCTAAAAAAAGAAAAAGTGAGCCTCAAATAGGAATACTATACGATGGTTTCCAAGAGGAAGGGTGGTTACCCAAGGGCACACCACAAAATGGCAACAGTAGGGATTGGAATAGGGTATTCAAATTCCCAGTCTGAGGGGAAGTCAGGAGCTCCAAGACCATGAGAAGTGGTAAGTACGAGTCTTGTGGGCAGCATAGAAGAGGCTGAGAAAATACTTTGGAGATTTCAATCTTTTGAGGGGATGGGAGGGGAAAAGAGGGTCTTTAGAGTGGGGCCATGACTGCGTGTATTGCTCCAGAAGGACAGAGTTGCAAAACAAGACTTGAGAAGTTTAGGGGAAGTAGAAATGATCAATTGGATTCCTTCCCTTCCCCAACATAGAATGAAAAGTAGGGGAATAGCAAGAGTTATTCCAGGATTTGGGGAAGACTCCAACAATGCAGGAGGACACAGTGAACAGCCAAAGATCATCTGACATCCTTTTTCCTCCTTTTTTCCCTCCAGTAATCTAGTTTCAGGGCCCAGGAATGACAAGGACTAACTTACGGAGCAATTACCTGGGTTCAAAGGATTAATTTCCAAGAATTCATTCCCTGACATTAGCCACAGCCCTTGTCCCCTGCTCTGGACATGTCCCCTCTATGAGCCCCAGGTTGGCAGCTCTCCTGATGTAATTCACTAGGGTCTGGGACCCAGGCCCAGAGCCAATCCCCTGCTCCCTCCTCAGGTCCCAGGAGTCAAGGGCTTGCTCTAAGAAGGAAGGAAACAGGCTTTTCCCCTGTTCCCTCCCCCTTCCCAGGATGGGACCCAGAGACCAAAGAGCCTTTGTCTTTCCCTGCCACGCCCCCACATTGTAGCCCAGACAAGGGGATTCCTTGTATCCCAACCTCAGGCAGGCATCCTTGTGACCAAATGGTGGAAGGCCGGTGACAGCATGGGGGAGGGGTAGTCACGAAGTCAGAGAAGACACTGCCCCCATCCAAGATTCTGGTATACCCCAGAGCTCTGACACCCAGAGCTTCTCCCTCCCTGGCTCCCATCAACAGTGGGGAGAGTAGGCCAAGACTCATCTACATATAAAAGGCCTGAGGCCCAAAGAGGAAACTGAGAAGGTGTGGAGACACAGAGGCTGCGCCTGCTGGCAGGCAGACATGGAGCCAGAGCACAGGAATGGGGGCAGCCCAGGTGCAGGGCAAGGCAGGGTGGCCAAACAGACCTGAGAGCCCTAAGTGGAGGCCCCTGACAGTTTCTTTCCCTAACACCATGGGGACAGGAGTGCTGGTACCAGACACAGAGGAAGTGAGATCTCCTAGGATTAAATGAGAATATGCCCTTTAAAAAGTAAGAACCTTCTGAAAAGCAGCACAAGTATCTGACAGTGAGAAACTTTCCTGCCAGGAGGGGTGATGTGTTCCCACTCACTAGAAGTAATGGTTTGGACAATAAATGATACAATCTCACTTAGCAGCAGGGGCTCAGACACTTCCCTACTGACCTATCACCATCCAAGGAAGGGTACAGAGGAAGGGCTAGGGCCGTCCTCGCCGGAAATGACATCACTCAGCACATTGGAAGGGGTAGGTCCACCAACCCCAAAGGCTTCTGGGAGGGCCAATCCATGGAGGGTTGGCCCTGAATGTCCATGTTCCTCATCAATCTTCCGTCTTGGCCAAGAGCGGTGAGCCAAGGTTCCTAGACTTTGGGTGAGGTAATTACACTCCCATCTCTTCATCAGTGATCTCCTGAGGGGTCCTAAATTCCTTAATTGTTACCTAGCGGGGGGAGCTACCATCACACTAGGAGCATAGGCCAATCTTCTAGAGTCAATATCTCTATGGAAATAGCTCCAGGGACTCAATAATTGAGGGATAAAGGCTGAGATTCCCTAGGGACCAGAGGGTGATCGGCCAGGTTTCCATGGTAACTAATTTCAGTGCAGCTTCTTCCCAGTCCCAGATTGAGGGAGCATAAATTTTGGGGGAGACAAGGGCCAAGAGATGAAAGAGCCACAGGAATACAAAAGGGTGGGAAAGTTGTTACAAGAAGGTCACATCGTCCTGGCACGGCTCCCAGTACCAGTGGGCCTCGAAGCCCAGCTTGGCACTCTCGTCCTCTGGTGACTCAGGTGGTCCACCTTGGAGCCCCTCCCCTGGGGGCTTCCACACGGCCCTCAAGCTCCCTAGCCTGGTGGCCGTCAGGTCCACCTCAGTCCTGCCCCTCTCCCCACCAGGTATAGCCTTTGCCCAGTCCATCTCAGGACGGGGAGCCCCAGGGGGGGCCTGTTCATCCAGCTCACTGGGGACCACCGTGTCCAGAAAGCTGCCAAGAGAGACACTGTCCAGCCGGTCAGTGCAGCTGGTGTCTGGCAGGCTGTCCCAGCTGCCTCGCCTTGAGCGGCCGGGGCTCCCGCCTGTCAGGCTATACTGGCTGCTGGTGAGGCTGCTGCAATGGCTGGTCAACGTCCCCCGCTCCTCCAACAGCCAGCGCACGGCCTCGATGCCCTCATTCAAGGTCACCAGCTGCTGCAGGATCTTCACATCGATGGCTCGCAGGTAAGCCTGGGGGAGTGGGAGAAGGAATTAGTCCCAGGGTTCCAGGTCGTGGGTTTCCCCAGTGTTTTCCAGAATCCCCGACCTTGTGGTCCAATAAACTATGCTTTGCTTTCAAGAAGCACAGAAAGATAATGGTTTGGAGTGTAGGCTTTAGAAGTAGACAGACAGCTGTGTCAAATGTCAGCTCTACCACTGATTAGCTATATGACTACGGGCAGCTTTCTTCTTTCAGCCTCAGTTACCTTGTTTATAAAACAGGGCTAAATCACTTACCTCACAGAGTGGCTGTGAGGATTTTAAAATGCTCTCTATTAAGTATTCAGCACAGTGCCTGGCACAGAGTAAGGTCTCAGTAAATGTTAAGTATTAAAATCTAATCCCATTGAGCTTTGAATTTCCTATTTAGGGTATTAACTATTGAACCCATCCAGATTCACCAGAAAGTCTTCGAAACAGCCAAAGAATAGCCAGATAGGGTATTGATTGGGCCAAAAGGAGGCAGGATCTGGGGAATAATGAGGGACCTAACCTGGTTCCCTAGTTCCTTCAGTGTTTCAGTAGCAGCTGCTGAGAGAGGGAAGGATTGGCCAGAACTTAGAAGGCTCAGAATCCCACTGGCTGGGCATTCAGGGCTTCCCGCCACCACACACTGGAAGTATTAGTTTGACTTACTGGGTAATCTCCAGGGTCCCTTCTAGCTCAGATGCACTGAGTTCCCTTCTCCAAGCACAAGTCTGAACCTGTCCCTCCCCTGCTCAAGAGCCTTTAGGGGCTTTGTACTTCTCTTAGAGAGCATGGAATTCTAACCACTAGACCACCAGGAACTCTGCCCTGCTGTTAGAGAATGAAATCTATACCCTTTAGCGGTGGGCATTCAAAAGCCTGTCACAATACGGCTCTTGCCCATCTCTCTAGCTTCACCTCTAGCACGCTTCCCTGGGAACCCAAAGTCCCACCACGAACGAGTTTTTAAAATTAGTTTTAGTTTTATGTTTAATAAAAGTAACAGATGCACACAGATTAAAGAGACAAATAGTTCTACAAGATTATGAACATGAGCAGTTCCCCCATCCTAGTCCTAAATCCCACTTCTGAGAGACAACTATTATTATTTTTTTAGCTGTTTATTTTGGTATCTACCTCCTAATCTCCAAATGACATTCTTACATTGCTACTTCTTGATATTTAAGTTTTAGGCATTTTTCTATTGACTTCCCACACTACAGAAGGTTAAGGATTTAACTTTCATCCCACTCCCCACTCCTCTGCCATACGCATGCCTTTCCCACCTTCCATCTTCCCAATAGGCAATAAAAGTATTCAGTGTTTACCTTATTAGAATTTGGAAATTCCATTCACAGCTAAGCCATATAGTTTACTACAGTTACTTTTGATTTCTTATAACTTCCTGTTTTCGTTAGAATTATTATTATTTTGCTTAGTTTGCTATGTAGTTATCAGTAAGGTATCCTCTTAACTCTCCCCCATTTTGTCTGAATTCCCCTCTCAAGTCTTTCAAACACAGTACATGTTCTATCTACTCCATCTTCTTAGAGCCATCCCTTAAGGAACCTTCTGATCTGTTCCAATTTGTCCCTGCTGGGATTGTCCTCCAGTAATTTCCCTTTATCTTCTTGGGAATTCCTTTGCCTCTTTCCTGAGCTGAATCCCATGTTTCTTAGATTCCATATCTTCTTCTTTCTTGATTTACTCCTTCATTTGGGTGGGTGGCACTCTCCCTCCAGTAGCATCCTGAGAAAGTCTGCATAAGAGGTAAATTTGTTGAAGCTCTGCATGTTTTTAAATATTCCCTCCTCACACTATTGATAGTTCAGCTGGGTATAGAGTTCTAGGTTGAAAATTTTTCCCCAGAATTTAAGACATGTTCCATTGTCTTTTAATTTTCAGTGTTACACTTTAAAAGTCTAATGTCATTCATATTCCTGATCCCTTTTATGTGACACTTTTCTCACTCTTATTGGAAGTTTTAGCATCTTCTCTTTCTTTCCAGTGTTCGAAGTTTTCACAGAAATTTGCCATGGTATGGGTCTATTTTCATTCATTGAGTTAACCACTTGATGGGCCCTTTCAATCTGAAAACTTTTGTCCTTCAGTTCTGGGAGATTTTCTTTAATTATTTCTCCTCCAATATTTTTCTGTTCTTTCTGGGAATCCTATCATTTGGATGGAGGATGTCCTGGACTAATCCTCCATTTTTTTTTCTCTCTTCCATCTTTCTATTTTTTTTTTTTTTGGAGACAGAGTCTCACTCTTGCTCTGTTGCCTGGGCTAGAGTCCTGTGGCATCATCATAGCTCACAGCAACCTCAAACTCCTGGGCTCAAGGGATCCTCCTGCCTCAGCCTCCCAAGCAGTTGGGACTACAAGCATGCACCACCACACCCAGCTAATTTTTTTCTTTTTTTTTAGTTGCCCAGCTAGTTTCTTTCTATTTTCAGTAGAGACAGGGTCTCACTCTTGCTGAGGCTGGTCTCAAACTCCTGACCTCAAGCAATCCTCCTGCCTCAGCCTCCCAGAGTGCTAGGATTACAGGTGTGAGCCACCACACTTGGCCTCTTCCATCTTTCTATATTTGCTCTAGTTTCTGAAATATTTCAACATAATCAACTATTTTGAGTTTTCTCTTTATTTCTATCATGTTTTGTTTTTTTTGTTTTTTTTTGTTTTTTTTTGAGACAGAGTCTTACTCTCTTGCCTGGGCTAGAGTGCCAGCCTAGCTCACAGCAACCTCAAACTCCTGGGCTCAAGCGATCCTCCTTCCTCAGCCTCCTGGGTAGCTGGGACTACAGGCATGCACCACCATGCCCGGCTAATTTTTTTCAGTTGTTTGGCTAATTTCTTTCTATTTATAGTAGAGACGAGGTCTTGCTCTTGCTCAGGCTGGTCTTGAACTCCTGAGCTCAAGCAATCCTCCCGCCTTGGCCTCCCAGAGTTCTAGGATTACAGGTGTGAGCCACCGCACCCAGCCTCTATCATGTTTTTATTTCCAAGTGTTGGAACATTCTCTTGAACGTTTTCCTTTTTTATAGCTTCCTGTTTTTGTTCATGGCTGCAATATTATCTTTTATCTCTCTAAGGATATGATTAATGATTTTTATAAGTTCTCATCTCGCTCTCTTATCTCCATTTCATTCAAGTTGCTTTTTTTCTGTTTAGGTCTATATAATTACAAGGTCGGATGTTTATGATCTTTAATTATTGCTCACACTTCTGAGTAGATCTCTAAAATAACTGGAAACTCTGAACCTCACTACGGGTGATCTGATTGGATTGTTTGATTGGAGAAGGTCTGCAATCAAATAATCTCTTTTCTCCTCTTGAGTTCATCATATTCCCCATATTATACCCATCTAGAGAGTATAATGTAATTAAGACTGCCAATATTCTAGGAGCCAAGTAGGGGTAAAGGCTACCAGGGGTATTTCATAATATTTAGTTCATTTTTCTTTAATCCCTCTTGCTCTCAGCTGTGCTTAGTGTCTCCCAACCTGGGGACCTTCTGTTCTATTCTATACATATATACACAGTCACGCATAGCTTAACAATGGGGATATGTTTTAAGAAATGTGTCGTGGCCAGGCGTGGTGGCTCACTCCTGTAATCCTAGCACTCTGGGAGGCCGAGGCGGGCGGATTGTTTGAGCTCAGGAGTTCGAGACCAGCCTGAGCAAGAGCGAGACCCCGTCTCTACTAAAAATAGAAAGAAATTATCTGAACAACTAAAAATATATAGAAAAAATTAGCCAGGCTTGGTGGCACATGCCTGTAGTCCCAGCTACTCGGGAGGCTGAGGCAGGAAGATCGCTTGAGCCCAGGAGTTTGAGGTTGCTATGAGCTAGGCTGACGCCACGGCACTCACTCTAGCCAGGGCAACAGAGTGAGACTCTGTCTCAAAAAAAAAAAAAAAGAAATGTGTCGTTAGGCAATTTCATCATAGAGTATGAACATCGTAGGGTATACTTATACAAACCTAGATGTCCCAGCACCATTACCGAATATCAATCATTTACCCTACTTGATCTGCAATGCCAATATCAAGTGCCATGCATCAGGTTTCTATATATGCTCCATTATAATCTTATGGGACCACTGTTGTATATGCAGTCCATTGTTGACCAAAACGTCATTATGTGTGCATGACTGTATACATACACACACGTAATAAATGTTTGATAAATGTTTATTGCACTTGAACAGTGTTTATTAAATTATTCAGGAAATAATTGCTTTATTCACATCTACAATGATAAACCAGAGTCAAGTATTTACATACTGAGAAAAATCAGGCACTGGAATTAGACCTAGATTCAAATTCCAGTTCTGCCATTAATGAGCCATAAAAAATTGGAATTTTTTTCTTTAAACCTTCATTTATTATAATATGAGGACACTATCTAATTTAAAGGTTTATCATGGCCGGGTGCGGTGGCTCACACCTGTAATCCTAGCACTTTGGGAGGCCGAGGCAGAAGGATCACTTAAGGTCAGGAGTTCAAGACCAGCGTAAGCAAGAGCGAGACCCTGTCTCTACTAAAAATAGAAAAAATTAGCCAGGCATGGTGGCACATGCCTGTAGTCCCAGCTACTTGGGAAGCTGAGGCAGGATGATTGCTTGAGCCCAGGAGTTTGAGGTTGCTGTGAGCTAGGCTGAAGCCACAGCACTCCAGCCTGGGCAACAGAGCAAGACTCTGTCTCAAAAAA